GAACAATTTCACCCGAAATGGAAGTAAGCTCATGAATCAAAAGATTCCTCGAAACCCAAATGGTCCTCGGTAAACAAACTAGTTTGAATCAACTTCCTATGCACACACGGGAACTAATTGGAGCCTAATCAAAACAAGTAGAACCACATCACCTGTGGGTTGGCACACAAGAGACTAGGTCATAGGAAGTCATAGACTTGGTACTATGGATAGAATCTCGATATGAAATGTGTTCACTCTATTTCGTTTACGGTGATGAAGGATTGACATTACAATTTTTCCACAATGATATGTGTAAAGTTTACATTTCCATTTAATTTCACAGAGCCTTGCTTTCCCAAAAGTTGTTCTCATCCAGGATGGACTGCAATTTTGACCTCGCATAGGTCTAATCACCACCCCTAGCGCGAGCTGAACCGTAAGAATGCATCATGTGAACTTGATATGTTAACCACTCTGCCACATTGCCACGAGTATCCTTGGTTCACAGGGCAGATGTGAATTTCAAGGAAGGCCAGGCCTTTTCCCATATCACATTCTTTGGTGGGATTGTCGATAAAGCAAACTTATTTTTGTTATAACATTCAACTACATCAACATGATATGTAAGACGATAGCTGATTCGCGTTATTCTGTAGCTGTTTGGCTTTAATACAGAGTTCAGGTTGATGCCTACTTTCGCCATATAGAAGTGTCCTGACCACGTTTTACAACTTGGCCGTGTGATCAGGGCGACCTAGTTAGACCTACCGCGTCCGAAGTCCTCTGCTTAAATGGTTAGGATAATTCCAAGCGTTGGACCCTTTACTTTGTACATTCCCAGACCTTACGCAGTCCAACGCTGGAACTTACTATAGCTACTATAGTAGATGCCTTCGGACAAGCTAAGTCAAACAACACGACCACATTGCTGAATCGAGGTTAGACTACTTCCAAAATATATAAATATAGATGAATATATAATTATTTGGCTAGCTTAGGGTATGCTAGAAGACGACTGCTGATTCCTGTTGTTATGTTGTTGTTGCTGTTCCTTTCCGACTCTATTGAGATTTAGAGGAGAGGCAGAAGTATATGTTATATTTGTTTTCCTACTTAATACGTATAAAATTATGTTACTGCGCAACCCTCATGGGCAACACATATTAAGTCGTGGAGATAGGATATCAAGATGATGTGGCCTTCTGTTTGGTCGCAGTCTCCTTTAGCTTTATAGTATTGGCTTAATTTCGTTTTCGCGACTTGGTCGAAGCGTCAAGGAGACCTTGTAAAACTTATTCTTTAGTCCCCTGACATAGTCTTCGTGATTTTCAGCATAGGATCAGTGACTTGATACATTCACAAACAACAAAGACTTATATTTTGTTTTGAGTAGGTTTTTCGAGATATATGATTTGTGTTCACCCTATTTCCTTTAAGGTGATAAAAGACTGGCAGCTGAATTTTCTCACAATGAAATGAGTATATTTTACATTTATATTGAATTTCACATAGCCTCACTTTTCCGAAAGGTGTTCTCATCCAGGATGGACTACAGTTTCGACCTCGCCTAGGTCTTATCAGCACGCGGGACTCGAACCATGAGGCGGCAGCGTACGAGCTCGACGCGGTAACCACTATGTCTTCCTTGTAATTCACATCTGCCCTGCAAACCAAGGACATTTGTGATAATTTGGCATAGTTAACATTGTGAGATTATACACTGTACTGTCATGATTCGAATCTCGGGGGTATTGTCAAAACATAGGCGAGGTCGAAGATGCAGTCCACTTTAACCTAAATGAGAATAATTTTTGGAAATTCGATGGAAATATTATGTCTACTCATAGTATCATAGGAAAATTTAATTTCCAGTCCTTCATCACCTTAAACGAAATAGGGCGAGCACAGCTCATATAACAATGATTAATGTCTATGAGATGTGAAGATGCGCTCTGATGATGTTTGAGAAAGAAAGTGTGATTATTTTAGATCTGCTTCTCTCAATCTCAGCGCCTACTGCCCTGCTTGGCCACAACGGCAGTCCACCCAGCCGGTCGCTCTCCATGCAGGCCAGCGCCGCAGCAGCGGCGGCTGCGGCCGCCGTAGCAGTCGTTGATCCGCGCTACACGCCAATGCTTTCGCGTCTTCTCGACTATCCCGAGATGCTGCCGTTCGCGGCTGGTCTGCATCATCAGCTCGCCTCGCCTGGACCCGTAACTGCCGAGGTGGCTGACGGTGGTCTACGACCCGAGGCCAGCTCTGCTGTCGTCACTCCTTCGAGCTCCAGACGAGTGTCGTCTGGCCGACGTTTCGGCCAACCGGGGCCTGGAAAACGCGATCGGGCCGTTGACAAACGTCGAGATCCACCACACGAGGCGACTGCGCCTGTGTCTGGTGTCATGGCGCCCGGACAGTCGCATGAGGGTACGGTCGAGTCGGAGCGAGACAGAGCTGGCGAAAAGCGTAAGGCTGTACAGAGCTCTTCTGCCTCGCCGGCATCCAGAGCTCACGGAGATCGAGCCAGACGCCTGGGAAGTCGTTCAGTAGCCGCCGTTGTTGTTCCCGCTATCACAGGCCGTACCGCGAGGACAAGGCCCCACGAGGTTGCCAGGCCCAGTTCACTCGACGCTCTGGTTCGACCCTCGTCCCAGCAGCCGCAGAAGCAGCAATCACATCAGCCACCCCTGCAACAGCAACAGCAACAGCAAAAGGAGCAAAAGTCTTTGTTTTCCAAAGGTCGTGACAACTTGAGGCCTCAGGTGGGCTGATAGTCTCCTATTTTTACTTGGTCTCTCCTTTTTCTCCTCTTTCTGTCTTGATTTCCCGTCTTCATATTGCCTTATTGAGCACCT